TATGTGATTGTTCCGGTCGTTGGCAACCCGCGCGGTTACTTTTCGACCCCGGATCGCATGCCTCCTTTGTAACCGAGGCGTGCGTGCAACGCTTGGGTCTGTCGCGAGTATCGTCCGAAGTATACATCACTGGAATTGGGTCAGCGCAAGGAGGTCGTGCTAGAGGTGAGGTATCACTGTCTCTTTCCTCTTACTGTTCCGATCAATGCTTCACTGTCAATGCACTAATTTTACCAAAAATTACAAGCGACTTACCAACGCAGACGATAGCTGTTTCAACATGGCCCCTTATCCAAGGGTTGTTTCTAGCCGATCCGCAGTTTATGGAGCCGGGGCGTATCGACATATTGGTTGGCATGGACGTCATGGATCAACTTGTCTGTGCGGAATTCCATAAGGGTCCACCCGGGACCCCCATGACTCAGCGAACGGTCTTTGGATGGACATTGTTTGGAAGCTTGCATGGCGCCGGGCCTACTGCGCCACGCTTGCAGTCGCTGCACTGTGATGTTCATTTAGAGCGAGCCTTGACTAGATTGTGGGAGTTGGAGGAAGCGCCTCAAAAGACGCACCTTACATACGAAGAACGTTTCTGTGAAGACCACTTCGACACAACACATCGAAGAGCACCTATTGGCCGATTCATCGTCGAGTTGCCGTTAAAGCCCGACGTACCGTTGGGAGATTCGCGAGACCTGGCCGTCCAGAATTTGCTACGCCTTGAAAGAAGACTTGCTCGCGACGTCGACCTACGTTTGCGCTACAACGAGTTTATGAAAGAGCTCATAGACATGAATCATATGCAGATCGCGTCAGAAACCTTAAATCAAACATACTATATGCCGCATCATCCCGTTATAAAGGAGAGTAGCATTACGACAAAACTTCGGGTTGTTTTCAACGCGTCCGCCAAATCGTCTTCCGGGAATTCTCTGAATGACGCATTATTTGTCGGCCCTCAACTGCAGCAAGATTTGTACACGATTTTGATTCGTTTCAGAACGCACCGCTTCGCAGTAACCGCAGATATCGCAAAAATGTATCGTCAAATCTGTGTATCCTCAAAACATGCCGATCTGCAGCGCATCGTTTGGCGTAGCGATCCATCCCTGCCTATCCAAGACTTTCGCATGGTTCGTGTGACGTACGGAGTATCAGCTGCATCTCATCTAGCTGTCCGTTCGCTGCAACAGACGGCAAGGTATTCATCAAATGGTTGTGTTAGAGCCGTTAATGTCATCCTAAAGGACTTTTATATGGATGATCTGCTAAGCGGTGCATCTAGTAAGGAGGAACTTCTGTTGCTGCAGCAAAGGGTGTCCGAAATACTGCGGGAAAGTGGATTTGAACTCCGAAAGTGGGCGTCGAACTGCGCGCAACTTAATGCAAGCATCTCTAATGCAGCTGAAAATATATCGCATTACATCGTCGACGATAAGGATGTTCACGCTTTAGGTCTTATCTGGAACACGGAGGGAGACCACTTCACGTTCACTGTTAGCTTGAAGCAACCGCCCGTGAGTTTGACCAAGAGAGCATTTTTATCAGACGCAAGCACGCTCTTCGATCCCTTGGGGCTGCTTGCACCTGCAACTATAAAATCAAAAATGTGGTTCCAAGACATTTGGCGCACCAGAGTAGGTTGGGATGGCCTCATTACTGAGTCCATTGCAACTAAATGGTTGGAGCATCGCATAGAATTGCAGCAGCTCGCACACTTGAAGGTGAATCGCTGGCTCGGTACGGAAGTATCCGGGTCATTCACGCAACTGCACGTGTTCGCAGATGCATCCGAGCGCGCATACTCCGCCGTTATGTACGCGCGTACCTCACAAAGCGATGGTACCATTACCGTCGCGCTAATCTCGTCGAAGACCTAGGTGGCTCCGCTAAAACCGACAACGTTACCACGCCTAGAGCTTTGCGCCGCACATCTCGCTTCCAAACTGGTGCGAAGCGTGCTACTCAGCTGGCCTGATCTCCGCTACCCGCTGTTCGCGTGGACCGACTCCACCATCACGTTGGCATGGCTGCAGGCGCATCCCAGCAGATGGATGACTTTTATTGCCAACCGCGTCGCCGACATTCAGGAAGTCCTGCCTCCTGAGTGTTGGAACCATGTCCGCTCCGAGCAGAACCCTGCAGATTGCGCTTCAAGGGGTATAACTCCCACCGAGTTACTACATCATCAACTGTGGTGGGATGGTCCTGACTTCCTGAGAAGCACTGAACAATCCTGGCAGCAAAAATTACCGAAACAGCACACGACAGAGTTGGGCATTCGAAGCAGCGTCTGCGCCCATGTGACTGGCTCCAGCGATGACTGGTCGGTAATAATGAAGTACTCGTCGTTTTCCAAGCTGCGACGTGTCATTGCTTACGTTCTGCGCTTCTGCTCCAACGCGCGAGCTGATAGACGTCCCGACGCTACAAAGCGGTTTGGTCCTCCGAGTTGCAGCGAGTTGTCTGCAGCTGAGCTTCGCCTAATCAGGTATACGCAACAGCACTATCTATCTAATGAGATCTCTCTTTGCAGCGCTAAAAGACCAATCCCGCTTCGCAGTTGCCTTTTGCGTTTGCAGCCGTTCCTCGATGAAAACAATGTTCTGCGTGTTGGAGGCAGACTAAAAAATGCTGAAGTCACGCCCGACGTTAGACATCCCATTATCCTGCCAAAGAACTGTCCGCTTGCCAAGCTAATAGTCTGCGAGATACACAAACTCACCTTGCACGCTGGGCCGCGCGTTATGCAGACTGTCTTACAACGCCGTTATTGGGTTGTCGGCGCCCGAAACTTGATCCGCAACGTATATCGTAAGTGTGTGAAGTGCACTTGCTTAAACCGAAACCTTGCCGCTCAGACAATGGGTGACCTACCTGCGACTCGCATAACCTACGCCCGCTGTTTTACCCGCACCTCTGTCGATTTCGCTGGGCCTTACATGTACAAGTTCACCCACGGAAGAGGAGCTAAGGCCACTAAGGGCTACATCTGCTCGTTTGTTTGCATGTGCACTGGTGCGATGCATCTCGAATTTGTTGGTGACCTGTCAACGTCAGCGTTCCTTAACGCGTTTAAAAGGTTCACAAATCGCAGAGGCTTTTGTAAGGTCATGGCATCAGACAATGGTACTAATTTTGTTGGCGCCGAGAAGGAGCTCCGCATCGCATTTCAACGGTGCATCTCAGATGACAAACTTCAATCTTTCTTTGCGGATTCAAATATTGAATGGGGTTTTAATCCACCGGCCGCACCTCATATGGGAGGGTATTGGGAAGCTGGCGTAAAACGTATCAAGTATCATCTGAAACGCGTGCTGGGCGAAACGTTGCTGTCATACGAAGAGTTTAACACCGTGCTGACAGACGTAGAAGCCTGCGTAAACTCCCGCCCGCTATGTGACATTTCTTCAGATGCTGGTGACCTAGAAGTCCTTACTCCTGGGATCAAGGGTTCTGTGGAAGCCTCCGTCAGCGATGGCAAGCGATTTCTGCTCTGCGACAACATTTCTGGCGCCGATGGAGGGACGAATATTTGGTAAGCCTACAACGACGCACCAAATGGTTTCGTTCTTCGCGCAACATTGAGGAAGGCGATGTGGTCGCCGTCTTCAGCGAGCCTACTCCTCCGACGAAGTGGACGCTTGCACGAGTTGTAAAATGCCACCCTGGAGCTGATGGACGTGTACGCGTCGTTACTCTGAAAACACCTCACGGAGAATTGGTGCGGCCAATAGTTAAGCTTTGCCTTCTCCCAACAAAAGATGATCTATTTTGCGAGGAAAACTAAGACCATTCTTCTATTATTATTATTTGAACTTTTTGAACTTGTAATCTAACTTAAACCTAGTACTTAAATTTTGTATTGAACATATCAAGGTAGTTCAA